TCTTGAAGCTAAGGCCCTACAAATAGAAATCAGTGGCTAACAAGCAGAACGAGAAACTGGCTCCGAGGTATTTTAGTCCTTATGAGATATTGGGGAAGATCGGTGCTGTGCCGTATTGTCTGAAGTTACCCGCCTCCGCTACCATACACTCGATATTCCATGTGTCACAGCTGAGGAGAGCTCTAGGAGAGCATGCAGTTAGTGTAAAGTTACTAGCATCAATGACGGAGGAGTTGAAAGTGGCTTTAGAACCCCTTGAGCTTATAGGGGTAAGATATGATAAAGAGGGCAATAAAGAAGTGTTGATTCAATGGAAGGATTTACCTGATTTCGACGCTACTTGGGAACCATTTGAAAGAGTGAAAGAACAATTTCCCTCTTTTCACCTTAAGGACAAGGTGAGTTTTGGGGAGGGGAGTAATGTTGCGCCTGTTCCTACGCCGACCTAGGAGGGGCAGGCTGGACCAGTCCAGGTCTAGTCCAACCTGGACCGGTCTAGGTTTTTTGTTTGGCGGAAGAAACAGGGAGAGGGGGGCGGAACTCCCGTGGGCCCCATAATGGGTTTAATGCAATCTTTGGGAGGAAAGATTTAAATGTAATGGCTGATTAGGTAAGTTGTAATTCTTCTTTGATGTTAATTAGGGGAATAGGAGGGAATTAGGATTATCTTGAATTTAAATTGTAATATGAGATCTAGGGTTCTTTTGCTTTGGGCTCTTGGCATTACCAGAGATTTGGAGAGTTGTTCTTCCTCTTGGATTGAAGAACAATTGTATCTTTTCTATTTTACTCATCGTCTAGTGGAATACAAGTCTTGCTTTGAATTTTCCTTCAGTTTTCCTCTGGATTTCTGCTGTAAACAGCAGTTTGCTATTATTTTCCTGCTGTGGACAGCAGTCTAGTCGCTGTTTGTTCACCGATTTGGGTTAGTTTTGCTTGTGAACTCAAGTATTACCTTAGGGTTACTTACGAACTCAAGTATTTCCTATCAGAATTCATCTTAGCTAACAGAGGGCTTTGTACCTTATCAATTATATCCTATTGATTAATATCTCAAGGATTTGTTGACATTGGAAAGCATATGGGCTCTGGCCATAACCGTAACTTAGTGGTGTCATTTGACGGAAAACCACTCGGTTTAGAAAGCCCCGGTCATAACCGTTTATCCTGCGGTGCTATTTGATGGAAAAAAACGTCGATTAGAGGACACATGCCACGTCTCTGCTGGCAGGAAACTGTTTGAGATTGAATCCTAATGATATTCTTGACTAGACATTAGCTCTTTGTGAGTTGAAGTGATTTTCAATTTGTCCATCTTGACAAACTGTTACGGAGGGTGGATAGGTTTGCTTTAAGTGATTTTATGGATTATTTCAATTTAAAATATTCTAAACTTGAATGATTCTTAGAATTTTTGGATTTTAAGTATTGGGCATTTGAGTATTTAGGGAGTATTTTGAATTTTTTGGAATTGACCACTCTGGTTGATATAAACATTCAACATAACCATCATTGGGGTGTTTTATGGGAAATTGTATTTTATTGATTGAACCATATCGACTCTGTTAGTTGTTGACAGAGGATCGGGCTTTATAGGCTTTATGCCTCTGAATGAATTTTCTTGGTTATCAATCTTGAAGACCTTACATGAATGTATAAAACAAATATGTCGGTCGATATCGTGATTGTATATTTGTTTGATGGTTCAAGGTGTGTCGACTCCTATCTGCCAGCATAGAAGGATTGAGATCGAATTTGGGTTTATTTTTTGACCCGCGCATCATCATAGACATTATATGTATACCAATAACACGCTCGTCGGGGCCCATATGGGTGTTTGGAGGCATTTTATAATTATTTGTTGAGCCTTGTCGACTCCTATTTACTTGCTTAAGATGATCGAGTTCAAATTTATTAACATGCGTAGCATCCTTAGACATCACATGTGTTCCTACAACACGCTCTTCATGGCCATGCGAGTGTTTGGGAGCATTTTATAATTATTTACTGAACCTTGTCGACTCTTATTTACCTGTTTAGTAGGATTGAGTTCAAATTTATTGACCCACACAGTATCCCTAGATGTCACGTGTGTTCCTACAAGACGCTTGCCGGGGCCAATGCGGGTGTATGATTGTACATACATTTCTCGGTGTTTGTGTATACAAATTGTAGTGCACATATGAGGGGTATTTGTATAGTATTAGCGGGTCTTCTACGACGGCTCGTAGATGTTCGTGTCTATCGTGGTCCTGTGTTAACCCGTTTTATATAGATAGACTGTCGTACATTACTTGTTGCTTTCTACAGGTGGATTGTAGTGCACTAACGAATCTCATTCTTTGCATTTATAGATGCTTGTAGATGTCCTGTCATATACATGATGAGTTTCCCACAGTAACTCATCGGCATTTACACCTGATATAGTTACTTTATATTTTGATTATAGGCGCACGCAGGGTGTATGACATATTTTCTACTGTAGCTCGTAGAAATTTGCGTTTGTCGTAGTGCTTCGATATTTGCCCGTAAGTTACATGTTGAGTTCATGAAGACTGTTCACTAAGAAACTTACAAGCCTCAACTCAATGTTCGAAATCTGGTTGAACTGAGACTCACTCATTACATCTTTGAAAATAATGATTTGATATGATTTTCTCTTCCCAAAACTCAAGTAGAAATTAATAGGTAACTACCTAACGATGTCTTCATCATCATTCTTTTGGTGTCAGCTTAAATAAAGAATCAATCATTTCAACCTTTGATGACTGTGTCCATTATGATGCCCTATATTTTCAAAAATAGTGGCCACTCCCTTGAACTAGAAACTATAGCAATTGAAGGCACATCAATCCATTCATCACGCCAATTGTGTGTTGACCTTCAGCACTCGTAGGCAACTACAGTATTTGTCCGTGAGTCGGCTGTAGTTGACTGGAGGCATGTGTGGTTGGTTGGGAGAGGAGGGATTTGATAGTGTGAGGGAAGGTGTAGGAAGTTGAGAAGGGGTCTATAGGGAGGAATGGGGAATTAGTAAAAATGGAGAGGTAGGTGGTGGAGTGTGGGAGCTGGTAAAAGATATGGTTGAATGATTGTAGGGAAAGATGTGTTTATGGAAAACGACGTGACGAGAGATATGAATCTTATTGCTTTTATGTTGTGGCACCTATAGCCCTTGTGGGAGGGAGAGTATCCTAGAAATAGACACTCATGGGAGCGAAGATGGAGTTTGCTAGGAGCAAGTGGTTGGAGCCAGGGAAAGCATAGGTAACCAAATATTTTGAGATGGGTGTAAGCCGAAAATTTGTTGAGGAGTAAGTGATAGGGAATTTTAAGATTGATGGCTTTTGAAGATAACCTGTTTATAAGGTGGTTTGAGGTGAGCAACGCTTCAGCCCAAAATGTAGGGGCAGTGTAGCGGCATGTAAGAGGGTACGAGTGGTATCAAGGAGATGACGATGCTTGCGTTCGACAACGCCATTCTTTTCAGGAGTGTAGGGACAGCTGAATTGATGGGTGATACCATGATCGAGGAGGAATTTCTTGAACATATGACTGCTAAATTCGCCACCTGCGTCGAATCAAAAGTGCAGTGATGTTTTTATTGAATTGATCTTGAATGAGTTTTGTTAGAGCTTAAAATTTAGATAGAGTTTCTGCTTTTGAAATCATAAGAATGAGCCAATTATATTGCATACAGTCATCTATGAAAATTACATAATGGCGATAACCTGAAATGGAAGAAACAGGAGCAAGCCCCCAAACATCTGAATGAATGAGGGCAAAAGGTTGAGAAGCACTATGTAAATCAGAATTAAAAGATAGTTAGTGGCTTTTAGCCACATTACAAGACTTGCATAAAACATGAGATGACGACAGACATAAAGATGGAATGAACTGAGATAACTTGCGGATGGCTTGCTGATTGGGATGGCCCAAGAGAGAATGCCAGAGAGATGTTGAGGCCAGCTTTGTTTGGAGAGTGAGCGAGGTGGGTTGTGGACTGGTTGAGATGAGGTAGATGCCATCACGACTACGGCCACGAATTAGAACATGATTATTTTGAGAGTCATTTATGATAAATTTCGGTGGCATTAAATGAAATGGTACAAGGATTATCGGAAGTTAATTTATGAATAGAAAGGAGGCTGTGCGAAAGTGAGGGAAGGGAACATGAAGTAGATGATGAAGAAGAAGCTTACAGCTGGTGTCTGAGAGTGGAAGAAGGTCTTGTCCGCTGTGTTGAATGGGTAAGGATGTCCCATTTTCTACTGAAATAAAGTTTGTTCCTTGATAAGGCAGTGAGTGATGGAGATTGTTGACATCTACTGTTAGATGGTTGGAAGCTCCCGAGTCTAGAACCTATTATGTTAATGGAAGGCTGTGGGAAGTGAACATGCCACGAATGGACGAAGACTAAGGTGGGGCGTATTGTGGGTTGTAGCAATGCCATCATAATAGAGTGGAGTGCCCAATTTTGCCACATATCTGACATAAAGGGCGTTGAGTCAGTACTGTAGAAGAGGTTGGGGGTCTGACATTGACTGTTGGGCGGCAGAACTGGGTGTTATGACCTCTGCCATGGTTCTGATGTGAGGAGCAGCCACGAGCCGAATTCCTGGAGGAGTAGAGAGCGGAGGTGTCTGAAGGAGGGATGAGATCTCTCTGTAGCTCAGCTTGAAGGTTGATCTCCTCACTACATAAGAGGGAGTATAAGGTTTCCAGGGTGGTGCGTATTGCAGTCTTGAAAGAGTTGTATGAGGGAGGCAACCTGTTGAGTATGTACATAATGATGTCTTCAACATCAATGTGAGATCCGACAACAGCTCTATTATCCACTAGAGATTTGATTTGAGCAAGATATTGGGTTATAGTGCGTCATGCATCTGAATACGATGAAGTTCGCTTTTGAGTTGAATAACACGTTCGTGGGCTGAAGACGAAGTTCAATGGTCATCCAAATGTCGTGTGAAGTGGAGAGACAGAGTATATAGAGAAGGATTGCTGGTGAGATGGTTGAGAGAAGAGCCGAGATGAGGTTTTGATCAATCAGTAACCACAACCGGTGATCTGAGGCTGCTCCGGTAGAAGTTGTTTCAAGTGGACATGCATGCTCCCTAGTGAGGTATTTCTCAAAACCACTGGCAAAGAAAAGTTGATATACTTGGAGTCTCTAAATAGTGTAATTGTTTATGGTGGCGTATGAACAATGAGTTTGAGGTTGTTCATAAGGAACTTCAGGGGCGCATGTATCATCATTTCTGCCATGGCTGCAGGGAGAGGAGTTTGATATAATCGGAGCTGATGAAGCTTGATCGGCCATTGGAAGAGAGGATGGGAGAATGTGAGTAGGTCTAAGAGCGGTGAAGCACAGGCTCTGATACCATGAAAGATTTTATAAAAGTGTTGAAGAACTCAGATGCATAGAAGAGGAGAACGTTATGAATACTGTAGCTGAATATGCAAACTCTCATATTGAAGTAAATCTTAGATGGTGAGTAATATAGGAAGACAACCGACATGCTGTTAGATAATGCAGAGCCGTTAGTTCGGTCTAAGTATGGAGGCGTTATATGCAGAGGAGCAGAGATAATGCTGAGCATCCTAGTGGTCCCTTTGGCTTTTTAGTGCAGCAGAGGTTGACGTATGCTAACAAATACAACAAGCGGATCTAAAGATATGTTTTTTATGAACATAAGATACATTAAATTCATTTTTTTTTTCAAGAAATTTGACGAACATTGTTTGATTTGTCTTACTTCTTTGAGTTACTGTAAATTGGACTAGGAATTTGGTGGGCATCCATAGGGGGAACTACAATGTAGTCAATGTATATTTCTAATTGTCTCTTTTTGCATATTTTGGCTAAGTTATTCAGAATGATACCTTAAATAATTAAGATGCATCTGGTTTTGATTCACCAGTTCTTTTTCTCTGAGCAGTGTGCACTTTGTTCATACTTTCTAAAGAATGTGGAGGGGTTATAATGTGAGTAAATTATGAATCTTTAGAATGTTATTTTTATATAATAATAGGTAGAAACAACGCTCGTAAGGAGTCCTATTGAAACCAAGAAATATAGGCATGCCTGCCATCCACACCAGAATAGATAGAGTTTTCCGAAAAAACCTGCCAGTGGAGGAAGACCCCCTAGGGATAAGAGACATAGGGCTGAAGAGAGAGCCAAAAAAGGATCTTTCGTGTATAATCCTGCATAATCTCGAATGTTATCAGTTCCGGTACGTAGACCAAATGATACAATGCAAGCAAAAGTTCCTAGATTCATGGAGATATAGAACAACATGCATTATTATTTTTGGAAAAGATTTGGTCATTTGGTTAATAGCATACTTAATAGCATATAGGAATAGAGTTAATAGCATACTTAATGGAGCATGAACTAATTAAATTTGGAAGCAGAAAACAATATTTTTATAATTTACTAAGTATAATTTAAAATATAATTTAATAAGTATAATTTAACAAACTAGAAATTAGGCATGCCTTATATGACATTTCCAGGAAAGAAAACCCATGAACGCATTGGTTAGAGTTGAAAATGATTTTTCCCTTAGAAGAACGAATCGACATACCTGCCTGAGTGCTGCATGAAGATCATCTTCATATGCAACATCATTTAAACATGCAATAATTTCAGGGGAAGAACTCCTTGCAGAAACAGTTGTAAAATTTAAAGGGCTTCTTTGATTGAGATTTTCATTGATATTGCTGTAAGCATCCACCAAAGAAGTGTCATTTATTGCTCCCATTTCTACATCTAACCCAGAGCAAGAACTAAACTGCTGCTGTTTTTGTTCCGCTGCATGAAGAAGAGATGGTTATCCGCAAAGAAAACAATCAAAGTTGATGGCTGCATCGAACATTATAGAGGAAAATGAACCCAACAACTTAATGTTCTGGCCTTAAATTACTTACAGGGAAGCATTGTATTCAACTCCATCGACAAGTTGTCATCCGAATCACATCCTTCCAAGTGGATATTGCTGAACAATGTGCCAATTTTTGGACTTCCTTCTGCATATCCGAGTTGTTTGGCTGAACTTAGACAAGAGTTTAGATCAGCGGGCAAAGGAAGTTGACAAGTCTGTGTATAAGAATTCAGTTGATTTGACCTTCGAAGGAAAGACTGAAAGCCTAAGTCATTATATGCTTGAGTTGGTGCATTCATCACTAAGGAATTTCGTATAAGACCTGGGTTTTCAGTTACAAATTGGTCTGTTTGTGGATTAATTGAATGTTGTGGTCCAGTTATCACTTCGCTTGACTTTGTATTATTTGCATATTTTCGATTCAAATCATTCTGACCGTTAAAAGGATGAGTAAACCATGTTGGTTGCATGGTAGCACGGCCACTAGGAAATTGCTGAGCAGGATAGTACGTGGAAGGTGCAAGCATAGTTTTGCATCCATTGACACCAAAATTTTCGAAGCTGATGGCTGAACATCGACTGTTAAGAGTCATGAAATCTGAGCTCCCAGCATATACACTTGTGCCAGCATAAGTATTGAAGTGTTCGCTAAGTCCCATTCCATTCCTTTTAAGACCTCTCCTATACTTCTGCCAAAAAAAAGTTGCTTTAGTTTGACCATGTAACTAGATTATGAATAATCAGGAAAGGCAAAGCTACATCAGTGAGAGCTGGAATGAACAAATTTTACTAAGATAGACTAAGCAAAACACCATTTTTAGATTTATAGCACTTAAGAAAAGTTGGTATTTTGCCTAACCTGTAAATGACTGGCTACATTCTCACGGCTAAGCCCTGGGATATTCATGATATCAAGTATTTTCTTTGGTACTGCCCCTGAGAGAAAGAAGAATGGTTTTAAGATTACAAAAGATAACCATGGAAAATATAAAATGCATGAATGTTTACTAACGATCAAGCCCTAGTTGGTTGACAGCATTGATGAATTCAGCATGCAACTCAGCGGTCCATGTAACTCTAGGTTTCTTTTGTGCAGTCGCTTCATCATCAGAGTCATCACTGTCATCATGATCTCTTTCCTTTCCATGGCTCTTGAAATCTTTTATCGGAACATCTTGTGATGTCCTTGCATGATCCAGTTTGTTCCAAAGATCATAAGAACCTTTCTTTTCCTTTAATGATTTCCTGACCACATGCTTCCAGATGACCTTAATGTCCTCTAGCCGTATAGGTTTAAGAAGGTAGTCAACCGCTCCATGCATTATTCCTTTCATCACACTCTTAAAATCACAATCTACAGAGAGCACTGCAAAAGAAATTGGTACTAGGATATACAGTGATAAAATAACAAGAGAATGAAATTATTTTGGAGGGTTATTTGCTTACTAATTACAGGCAAGTCCATCTCAAGGCCCAAAATCTCCAAAAGCTTAAACCCATCCATGTCCGGCATTTTAACGTCACTAATCACAAGATCATATATATCTTTGTTCTCTCTTAGCAGTTTCAAAGCATCATGTGCATGCTGGGCAATGGTAACTGCAAAAGAATTAAGATTGTTTATGAATACTTGAGCAATGTTATGATTAGGGGAAAGTAAAGGAAGTGAAATGAATTACAAGTAATTTATGAGTTGATTCTAAATCAATGTTCGTTGATTTGAGATTTTCAGCAGTTTTTTCACTTTATTTTGCTCAAATTCTTAATGCCCAAAAGAACCTTCAAAATATTCAATTTACCTGACAAATTCATATCAAAGAAAATAAACTGTCACCTCTAATCGTTTCTAAAAAATATTATCACACAAGCTCACCACTTCAAAACAAATATATCCAAGCACAATTATGAGATCCACAAGCTTTTTATCATTCTTTTTCTTGTGTGTTTTGTAATCTCAGTAGCATCAAGTTTGTTTCATCATCCTTTTATTGAAAATATTTAGATTGTTTAGATTGGATTAAATGGTAAGAACTTGCAGCCAATATCAGTAGAGTTGTGGTGGAATTTATAGTGGAACGGTGGTGGTGGATTTTATAGTGGAATTGCTTGATCTTTCTTCTAAAGATAGAAGATCATTGAGTACACACTTGAGGACTTGGAATGAGGCTAGGGCTAGATTTGGGTGGGTTAATTGTGGAGGCCTAGAGGTTACCTTGATGAAGGAAGTTAATTATGAAACTAAGGTAGATGTGGGACTCGGGTAATGATTGGAAAAGGGGATAGATCAAGAGGCATGATAAAGGTTTAGGGTAAATAACACTTTGTAGATGGAGAGGGAAGGCTACTGGAGTCTGGAGGCTTGTGGAGGTAGCGGTGTTGGCTTAGGGTTTGTGTAAGGATGAAACCTGAGAGCTCAGAAGCTTAGGATTTAGGATCTATGGCGAGGCCAAGAGCTTTCAGGTGATTTCTGGATTTCTTCCTTTAGGGTTTAGGCATGGAGGGGAGAGAGAGATAATAATAGGATAAGAAGAAGAAAACCTCATTACAAAGATTATTCAAGTGCTCAACCACAAAGTTTCACACAAAAACAAACATTTGTTGTAACCTTGCCTGGATCTAGCATAAAATTTATTGAAATCTTCTTTGATTCATGTGGAGTTTGAACTTGATTTATTGGAAAAGCCTTACAAAATAACTTGAATGGTTCCACCTCTTCAATTTAAAATTTTTTAAACTAGAAAAGCCCAGCCAAAATGAGCTTGGATCTTTGGATAAGATCCAACTTAGAGCCACCTTTCAGTTAACTTTCAACCATCATAGGGCTTTGCTTATGGATGATTTGATGCGTTGCATCAAATAATTTATCGCATTCAACAACATTTAACTTATTTAATTCATTGCAGTTAATTTATTAAAGTACTTGAAGGTTATTGTGGGAATATTTTCAAAATTTAATTATGTCTTGCCTTATCATACGGTTTGAAATTAAGATATCTCATGTTTACATCATCAATGGACCTATAATTAGCATAACCAAGAGTCGGTAATCTCTTCCTGCACGCCAAATAAATCATGCAAATCAGGTAAAGCAAGCAATGAAAATTGATAGATAGTAGGGCGCCTAGTGGTGAGATAAATGAGGTGCAACTGATGGTTTTATGATGGTGGTGAGTTGATGTGGAAAAAAAGGAGGCTCAGAGTGTTAGACCTAAGGGTGGAAAAGGATTATGGGTTAGCTGAAGAGAAAAATCTAGCTTGGGACAACTTTGGTGAAGACTAGGGCTCAATTAAGAATAGTTTAAGAGGCTATTTGGTTTACATTAAAATGAGTGTAAAGTATTCTAAATGCAGGAGTTTGAAAAATATTGATGTTGATCTGAAGTAAACCAAAATATACTGTAAAGTTTTGGTGTGTTTGGAATTCTTCCTCTAATTTATTCTTGGTGTATTTGAAATTCATCAGATTTGCGTGATTTCCAAATATACTAGAACTTCATTGCCAACTGCCGGCTGCCGCCGACCGCCACCACCGCCTACTGCCGCCACCTCCATCCCTAAACGCCACTATTACTGCTGTCGCCGCTGCCACGGCTGGCAGCCATTGCCGCCGGCCACCATCAGCGCTGGTCACTGCCGTTGGTTGCCATCACTGCCTGCCACCGCCACTAACCACCATATCTTTGGACTTTACACTGTATTTATTTTACTTCAAACCAAACAAAAAAATTAATTTCCGTATTTATTTTACATTCATGCAACCATTGCCGCCAGCCACCATCAGCGCTGGTCACTGCCGTTGGTTGCCATCACTGCCTGCCACCGCCACTAACCACCCTATCTTTGGACTTTACACTGTATTTATTTTACTTCAAACCAAACAAAAAAATTAATTTCCGTATTTATTTTACATTCATCCAAACTAAATCAAGGTATTTCAAATACACTGCATTAATTTTACATTACATTCCTTTTTAAGCTAGCTAAATAGCCCCTAAGATGTGGAATAAGATCTAGGGATTGTGGTTAGGTGGTGAGAGGAGTGAAGGCAAGAAGGTGATGGATTAAGAGGGCTCAATTTTGTGTGGGAGGTTGGGGCCAAGAGCTTCCAAAGTGAATAGAAGTTTTGCTTGGGCTATTGGGGTGGGTTGTGGAGAGACTGAGTGATGTGAAACAAGATGCGATAAACAAGAATTGCAATTAAGATATTAATAGAAGTGATGAACTTTACTTTGATACCAAATAACTCTTTGTTTGCTCAAGTTAAAGTTTAAGAATATAGCGTTGAAAGATTAAGCAATATCAATAGATTACACGTTGAGATTACTAGAATTTGCAAAATAATAACCAAAGATCTAGGTAATGCAAATAGCCAATTATGACAAAGCCCCAAATTTAAGATATAAATCATTCACCTTGAGGTCCGTCACTCGTTTTGAAAGTGGTGGCTAGCGGAGGAGAATCGTAAGTAGGCTTAGCGATGCTACTAGTAGACAAGTGATCTTGAGAGGACTCGTCGCCGGGAAAGAAGCCGGATGTGGAGGAGCGGGTGGCGGCCGTCAATGATCCACTCGGAGTCGGGACATTTTTTGTCGATGACGATTATGAAAGTCGGTAGGATCCGATCCAAGTAGGCTCCAACGGTATCGTCGTCGGAATCAAATCCCGCATCGAAGAACGGCGATCGTTGGATGTCGAGGTTGCCGTGAGCGTCGAACACAAGTCCCCATTCAAATTCGGGGTCCGCCATGCATTCTTGCCTAGGGTTGAAGGAGTCCCCGAGAGGGAAAAGGAGGTGACCGGTCTTGGGGTGGTGGAGGGAGAAGGAAAAGAGATGTTATTTAGTGGGAGGAAAGAAAGCTGAAATCTGATTTGAGTTTTAATTTAGAGGAAATAGGGAAGCTTTGTTTTCAAATCTCACATTTCAAATTTGAAATAAAAAACTGAAATCCCGTGATAGATGGGGAGGTATTTAGGAGATATTTAATTATTGATTAAAGTGTGGATTGGAGAGAGAAAAGAGCCAAGGATGGCCGGCCATGAGGGGGAGCTTAGAGGGCAATTAATTTTAATTAAGTGGGCCCTCTAAAGAATAAATAACTGTCATACAAAATATGAATTTTCAGTTTCAGATTTGGGCTAAAATACGAAGGTTTCCAAAAAGGATTTTTCTCTTGGCACGTTGGAATTCACCAATAAATGCCTAGGGAAATAATTAGGCACTTTTCTACTAGGTGAACTTGTAAAAAGGAAAGGAAATTAACGATTGACAAGTGAAATTTGAATTTGTTTTGACAACAGGTGACCGGTGGGTTGTTTGGAGGTTGTTATGGGGCGGCGTGGAGAGGAGACCGGCGGCTGGGGTACAGAGAGGGCCACCGGTGGCTGGGTGGTCCGGCAACAGCTGCTGGCCGGCGGTAGAGGGTTGAGGGGCCGGCGGCCAAATGCTTGGTTGGTCCCAAAGAGGCCGGAGGCAGGGAGAAAAAAGGGAAAAGAAAAACAATTGCCTCAAATACTTCCTCCTCAAGAGGTTCCAATCCAAATCCCCACAATGACGATGAGGTCAAGAGACATGAAAGAGAATAATAGAGCAAGAAAGAACCTAGAACTCACAAAGAGATCTAGCTTCTCCTACGAACTCACTAAGAGATCGTGGAGGTTTGCACTCACAAAGAGAACATGAAATGTTAAATTTTCATTCATCAAAAACTAAACTATTACATGAGAAAATGGCCATATAAATAGGCCTCAAAATGACAAAGAAAGTAAAGTACTAAAATGCCCCTTGGGCTACAATAACTATCAAATACTCATAAGGGCAAAAACGGAAAAACATGAAATAAAAATAAATTACTACATAAAATGATGGAAATATAGATCATGATCGTGGCCGTCGATCTCCGGCATTTCCTGGAGGTACATGTGTCGAAATCGCTGCTGATGTCCCCATCACTGAGGATGCTTGGGAGAGGAAGAAAACAACAGCTAATGCTAATTTGAGTGCAATAAAAGAAAACACAAGATAATTTTGAAGCTTACCAAACGGAAGAAAAGGCTAGTCACCAAGCCAAACTAAGTGAAGTTTCAACTTCTTTGCAACAGATTAATTCCGGAATAATCCTCTTCATAACCTCTACCCTCAAGTATAAATTTCATACTCCATTACAATGAAAACTCAAAGAGAAACCTTGTTATTTGCACAGATGGTGGTAAGAGTTTCAAACTGCGCTATCATAACACCAGCAAGCAAGTTTGGTTAAATAAAATTTAAAGTAATTATTATAAATGAAAATCCATTGAAGTAAGATCATGAGGTGTGATTGTAATTATAAGGGATGCACATGGTGTTGCTTCACATGTAGCGGGGAGAATGGAGTTGCCCATTAGATCTGTTTCTCTATATGTTGGAGAGTAATGGATATTCTCTTTTACTTCATTTCTGATTTGATTAATTTCTTCTCTCAACATACTTATGGTATCTCTCATCTATTTGTTATCAGGCATATGCGGCATCATTATCTGCAGAAAGCTGTTCCACTAACCCCTGCTCCTCAACGGACTTGACCTACTTTAGCGGTATTCATTAGATGCCTACTTTAAAT